CCTTTTTTACTCGAGTTGCCTCCGAGTGTTTTCTGATGCATTTAGAGCATACCCAGACCGATTAATTTTTCGAATGCAAAATCTTATCCGCAATTAGTGATTATCAGTCAGTGATTACTGATGATTTTATAACAGAATTATATTTCGTCATTATTATTTTTAATATTATTAATTATTACTGCTGTGTCAGTCTATTTATTAAAACATTTATTTTATACAAACTTAAGTTTTGGACTGTATATAATAGAATGATATATCATCTAAATTATATTTGATATTTTTTTTCTAAATCGATTAATTATAGCTATCGCAGGCGATTCCAGTACAAGAGTAGGTAGTGATCCTCTTAGGAGGCAATTCGAGTGAATAATATTTTTTAAATCGTGAGGCAATTCGGGTAACCTTTTACCTTTAAAAAAAAAATTCACGTTAGGCAATTCGAGTTTCAGATAGGAGGCAACTTGTGAGTGACCATTTCAACTAAAATTGTTTTTTTACGAATTTAGAAAAACCTAATTTATTTTTATTTATATTACATTATTGCATGTCCACTGTACGATCACGGATAACTGTAATTTTTTTTTTTTTTATTAATTATCCCGCGGCAACATAGGCCATTGGAAGGGGGATGGTACTGTAGGTTTTGGAACGGTAGGTGTGTTACACGTGGGGGTATTTTTGGCAGAATTTCGAATGGGGCACCCGTAGGATTCTGCCATGCCCCGGAGTGGGGGATGGCGGCACTTGTTCTCCGGACACTGTGACTTGCCAGGAGAAAAATGCCGCCAGGTGGTCGAGAATCGAAACCGCGACCGGCAGCGCCGCAGCCGACGCGTTGGACCGCTCGGCCACCTCATCCCCCATAAGTCATAACTGTAATTATAAACTACCTACGCTCGAGCCATGACCGTAAATAATAATTTCCACTTGAACCCAGTTATATATATATATATTGCAATATAGTATATAGATAAGTACCGAATGTAATTTATTAAAAATAATTCTATTTTTAATACAGTACTAGATTTTGATACATACCTCTCCTATTTTAATGATTTTTTTTCTACTTCGTTTATTTCTACAATCTGTTATACATTTAAATTTGTGTTTAATTGCACTAAAAAGTCTTATTTTTTACGCCTCGCTGCGATAATATTAATGGATACAGTATTACAGTCATTCTAACCGGCAGTAGGCAGGGCCGCAGGAGTTAGTCACTGAGCGGGTTTCTCCGCTACATTATACTAGTATTGTATATTCCTTATTTTATCTCTTATGACCTAATTCGTGCCTCATATTTATTATGATAGATCACACAACCAAAAAAAACATTGATTTTAATATGAATATAGGTGTGTGTGTGTGTGTGTGTGTGTTTATTTTTGTTTTTAAAAATCTCATTGTAAATGGAATAAAGAAGGAAGTATTACTACTGAGTCTTTTCTTCCAACAAGTAAGTTCACCGCGACAGTGATCTGTATAGTAGGTACATACTCTTATAGTCTTATTGTACCCTAGGATACAAACCGTATACATCTTTTAAACATTTAAATTAAAAATAATTTAAATAAATTATTCAATAATATAGGATTATCATAGTCCATTTGGGGAATTTTTATGTGTGTAGCTTCAACTTTAATCTTTGCATAACATAAGTATGATGGATTAAAACTGTCTAAGTTTATTGCACCAGGGTGGATGTCGACAAAAAATCGGTTGAGGGACTAGGTACTATAATAGTTGCTGTATGATAGTCATTTAAAATATTTCTGGATGCAAATCCATTTTTTTTAAAGTTAATTTTTGTTAAAAGCTATGTCTGTCGGAGAGTGTAGGTTGCAAATAACTATATACTATATAGTATGGTCCTTACTATACAGTAACGTTATGGTAACTTCGTTATTATTTTTTTTGCTGAACTCAAGAGTAACTACGTTAATTATTTAGAAGTAACTTAGCAGAAGAACGCGTTACATAATAAATTTAATTTTTTTTGGGGGGGGGATATATCGGGGTACTATTCACGGGGCAGTCTTTCCCCTCGTTGCCGCATCAGAAAATGTAATTATATTAATAATTTAAGTAGGCACCAAGGTATTAATGTAATTGCAACATTTTCCCAGTATAATCTAATATAATTATATATAAGTAAACGATTTTGTGTTAACATTATTTTCAATTTAACTGAACAAATTTTTGTGAGGTATAATATACGTCACTCCCTTCAAGCGCTTCTGTTGAAAGGCTCTCTAGTGTAACTGGAGTTATTTGTACAAAAAAATGAGCTAAATTAACTGATCAAAATTTTTAAAATACATTATTGTTTAAAATAAATATAAAAAAAAGATTGATTTAAAATAGACTTTTTTTTTATGAAACTTAAATACCTATCATAAGAGTAACGTCATTGTAACTAGTTACTTTTGAGTAAAAAATGTAACGTTACGCATTACTTTTGAACTTGAGTAACTAACAAGTAATCTAGTTAACTATTTTTTTTTGTAACTTGTAAGGTAACTTAGTTACTTTTAAAAAGTAACTTACCCAACACTGCTAGTTTGACGATTTGGGATCATTGGCCGTGGGTCGGTTTTATTAGCTTTATTTTCAGCATTGTTTAATGAGCGGTTATTTGCGTAGTCACTCATTTTTATGAATATAAGATAAAAGACAAGAAGTCCGATAATATACTTCTATCACTGCCATCACACGGGCGTAAAGGCGGCGACCGGTCTTAACTTTTAAGTAACTTTAACCATCATTTATATTAATAGCTTATACGACTGAATACAAACTTCATTTAATTTAATAGTAAAAGGTTTGACTTTTACCTTTGGTAAAGCGGAGAGGTATACTTCACGCACAATTGGTTTAATTTAATATGTAATATGCGAAAATAAATCACAAACAAGGGGAGAATACTGTAGAACAGTCGTGATCTCTACCTGCGGCATGGTATGACGGAACTAAACTTTGAACTTATATTCTTACTAAGTATAATATATTTTACTCATCATGCATATATAACTTGTTCTTATCAGTTATCAATACTAAACCAGTTTCATAAATCAATTAATTATATTACAAACCTGCATTTGTTCATACCTATTAAGACATTAGACGTTCGAATTCACTCTGATAACTTATAAATTATGAATATTCAGAGTGTTTATTTATCAACGTATTAACTATAGGCAATAGCTGTTGAATGTTGTATTTTTATATTTTTTACTTGTATCGAAATGTTAAGTTTTTAAAAATTGTATAAATGTATTATATTTAATATTAATTGTTTATTATTAATTGTTTGTGAACAAATTTAAAAATAGTGTAGTGAATGCTGTATAATTTTATTTTATTGCTATCTACCTCCTAATAGGTAAGTAAAATAAATATACTCTTATGAGTTATGATTATTCTTCATTTTAACCATATAGTGATAGTTCACAGATTGAAATATTATTTCTATGCATCGATAATGCTAACCATAGACATGAAAACCAAAGGGCTTAAAGTAGTACTTATAATATTAGGTAGGTATATTATTATATATTTGCAAACCATAACAATTTGTCATTATTATTAGTAATAGTAATAGTTACTAAAGTAATATAAAAACATAATTTTACATTAGTTGTTATAGTTTTTAATTTTCAATGACTAATAAACTTCCGGGTACTGGGCACATCACTGTCTATTATCACAAAAATGTATAGCTATACTTAAACAAAATAAAATATAAATGTGGTATTTAGTAGTTTGAATTAAAAAAATTAAAATTAAAACTGCATAGTTCCTATTTCCTGTAAAAAATATAATATTGTATAAATAATAAATTTAATGTAATCATATCAAAGTAACTATTTATTATTATGAAAATTTAAATTTATAAAATTCGAATTTCAAACGAGTAGTTATTTTATATTTAGTTATAGCTTAGGTTATAATTTATATCCTCTAAAAAACTACAAAATGTGCCTTCAAAAGTATGTTGCAAAATTGTCTTAAAATGATGTACAATATACTTAAAAATGCTGGACCATGCACTTATACATTTATTCTATAAAAAAACTTAAAATATTATGTTCATAAAAAAAAATTGTGTTGAAAAATTTTTAAAATAAATTAGATTATTTTTAGTTTCCTATAAGTAAAACGGATTTCTAATAAACTCGGCTATTTTTTGGACTCTCCTAAAAAATATGTAAAATGCTACAACATCCCAAACCTATAGTTACCCACAGTTTATATGAGGGAAGTAGTGGAGCAACACTGCAACAGTTTGCAGAGCACACCTATGGCCACTCAACTTCGCCTAGCTAAATTCAACTTTGGGAGGATGCAGTTATTTCTACAACTACCTAAATTTGGTTGAAGAACAAATTCCATATTTTGTGCTCAGTTCATTAGCAAGGTCTAATACAGAGTAGGAGTAAAAATGGACAGACAACTGTGCCCCATATGTATATATAATTTTTTTGTGAGGCTATAATTTGGGAAATTTATATAAATAATGATTATGATCATATAATTTTAATGTACTATATTTTGGAAATATAAGCTACTTTACACACCTTTTGTTATTATTATTATTATTTTTTTTTATTAGGGTTAAGGTTTCGACTAGTTAGGTCATTAGCCTGATGGTAATGTAGGGGGAGGTACTGTAGGTTGTTACACATGTGTGTTTTTTGGCAGAATTTTCGATTTGGGCACCCGTAGGTATCTGCAGTGCCCGGGTGGTGGATGGCGGCACTTGTTCTCCGGACACCGTGACTTGCCCGAAGAAAAATGCCGCCCGTCGCCGGGAATCGATCCGGCGACGGCTGCGTCCCAACCGACACCTTAGACCGCTCGGACCATCCGTTCCCCCCGTTTTATTATTATTTTAATAAAATGTATGTACTTACTCTGATTACATGTCACCTCTTAAGTCTTAATAAACAATATTATATTAATTATCTGTATTGTTTTGATTGTTACAGAAAAGTTCATAGATAATGGAAAAATCAGTTTTAAAACAATGTCGAATACCTGAAAGTAATTCAAATCAAAAAGAAAAGAACGTTAGGGAACCGACTGGTTCTCCAAATTACCCTGAGATACAAAAAAATATCAATGGCTTAACCGATCCTCCGGGCGCAGGACAGGGTTATTCCTCGACACAAATTGTTCAACCCACTGAAGACAACGAGCTCCAACCAATTATAAATAATAAAAATGGAATTTTGGACAATGTATAGATACAATATTTACAATATTTACAATATTTACAATATTTAATTCTCGTTATTAAATATAAATAATTTGTTGTACATAATTTATATTTGTTTCAGTTACTTGGAGAATCCGATGACGACACTTTGAAAGCTTTTGATTTGTATAGAAAAAAGAAACTTTTAACTCAAAGTATGATGGACATTGCGTTGTTTTCCGCAAACGCCAATCAGTTGAGGCACGTCTTGGAGACGTTTGACGGCCAATACATTTCGATCATTTGTGTAGTACTTTTATCGTTGAGTATAATCCTGCAAGTAAGTAAACTAAATTTAAAGTATTTTTTTAATATACCTCTATATTATACTTGTGATCTGTACTATTGAAATTCTTTTTATTAGATTTTGGTTGGCATAACTTTGCTCTTGAGTATTCGGTACAATGTAACTAATTGCGAAGAGCGAAAGATGGCATTCACGTACGGAAACTATGTTATTGTCGGCATATTCCTCATAACTGTTGTTAATATTTTAATATCTGCATTTGGAAAACCAGTGTGACCGTACTCAATTCTCATATAAATACATTTTATTATGGGTGCAATACCTAAACAATAATGGGGGAGGGGATAAAACCCTCCCCTTCTTTGCGCAATTGTTGCCAATGTATATGCAACATGTTATCATTATATGCCATGGTATACGTGCATATTAACGAATCCCAAATTTAATTTAATCGTATCAATTTGACTTTTTCTAATATTTAAAACTAAAAACGATTTGTATGCATTTGAAAATCATATCATTATACCTACGTATTGACTGCTAAACCTACTCCTAGATGGCGAGTACTTGATAAAATTATAAAACTACCACAGATACTGCACACAATATGGATGATGAACATAATATTATTACATTATATTTTATATAATTATCTACACATAATGTCATAATATCTCAATATCTGCATTCTGGATTAAAATTTGTTATCGCCATTTATTTATGTATCGATTATTAAACCTGTTATCGTGAGATACATTTAATAAGTAAGGATATTATAAAATATTATATATTGTGTATAAACATTATACATAATATAATATAGTTTATACCTACAATATACTTTTTTTATACCCATTATATAGTTACGAGTTCTTTCAATTAGCATAAATAGTGATTAATTATAGTTTAATTATATTTTTCTAAAAAAAAATGTATATTATACAAATTAAATAAAATATATTTTAAATGTTATTTTAACACTCTAATAGCCAAATGTATGAATTTTGTATGTTGGCTTACTCATAAAATTATACGGGCAATTTAAATTATTTGATATTAATTAATATTTAAAATATATAAATGTAACGACTTAAGTGAGTAGTACACTTTGTATACACAATGCAAAATATATTGGTAATGTTATACTAATTACAATAATTTTTTAATTAATACTTGAAAAATATTACCTTGAATAATATTGATTATAAGGCTGGAAATCAACTACCTACTTAAATTATTTTTTACATTTTTATTTAATATGTTTAATGGATTACTTAATATATTGATCAATGCACTGATTTACTTATAATTTCACAAGTTACTTTTTTGTGTTCATTTCGAATTCATTCCAGCGTATAAATATTAAACACATATCTAAATTAAGTTTATACTTTTAGTGAATACATTTTTTTTTGTGAGGTTGTCGATATTTATACTAACCTATACTATCTTTAGTCTAAACCTAATGATTAACATCCAAATTTAGCTAAGTTTATTAAAATAAATCAAAAATTAACTTCTTTGCTTATTAACTATATTAACTATTAACGATTTAGGCCTAGCATTGATGTATTTTTGGTTCATTAATTTATTAATGACATACTTAATAAGTACAAAGCATAAGATATGTAAGAACTGTTGTAAATAATAAATGTATTTATTTTTTCTATTTGACTAATATTTACTGTTCACTAAATATAGTTAAATACACCTAAACGTCTAAACTTATAATTCAAAATTCGAACAATTATTATATCTTTAATTGAATAATGTATTATAATTTATAATGTACCTATAACTGGTTGTATTTTTGTTAAGTTTAATTGTTAATTTGTTCATACCTAATATGTATGTACGGTATGCACCTGCCTGTTTATCATAATATATATCAAGCCAAATCAAATAAATATTAAATCAAAACTTTAATGTAATTTAACTATTAGACAATGTTATTTGATTACAATAAAATATAAAGGTACCGTTTACATTGGGTTAAGTTTGTTAAATTTTAATGTATTTGATCTATAACCTAATTTTATAATATCTTGCATTATATTATGTATAGTGTGTTATAAATTCTTATAACTTATACGATAGTTATAAATTATAATTATACCTATACAATAATAAAATGTAAATGTAATCATAGTTATCATTATAGTCATGACAGATGACTGATAAATAATAACTTTAAAGTGAAGATTAATTTTAGATTCTGAGCGGATCAATGAATGTATATTGGTTTTATAATTTTCAGTTTTTTCTTGTGTGTGTCTGTGGAAACTATTTATATTAGTAAAAATTGTTAGGATAATCTTCTTCTAATACATTGGATCTAGATTATACTTCGTATGGGGTTAGAAATAGAAATGTCCCAGTTCTTAAAACTATATTTAGGAATACTAAATATATAATTTTGGATACTTCTCTGTGGTTGAGTGTATTGATTTTACAATGATGTATTGATGTGTGTGTTTCTCGCATGTGTACACAGTGCACGATAATTGGTTCAGAACTATGAGGGTGGTTTTTCATAGCAAATTAGATCTATCTGGTACTTTTTAGAAGTCAACATTTGAAATAGAATTTTATTTTGAAGAAAATAAAAAACGGGAATTTTGGCGCGAAACTAATTTTCAACAAAAACCATATACTTATTGTTTTTTCTATTGTAACTCAAAGACGAATAACCCTAGATACTAGATATTTTCGACTTATACATACTAGCATTTTCTATACATGATAACATTTTCAAAATGTATTGAAGCTTTTTTAAATTATTCATAGACATTTTCAATTTTCAATTTTAGATTCTGAGGGGAGCGAGGAAAGCTATTGGTTTTACAATGGTGTTTATTTTTTTTTTTATATATATCCTGTATACAAAATTTCTACCAGAAGGAGTGCTTCGATTTCAACATATTATACCTTATCTTTCAGCAAATTGGATCAAGATGGTACTTTAGAGAAGTCATCTTTCGATTTTATCAATACCTAGTTATTTAATACCGCGGTAAAAAACCACCGGAAAATTACGAAAAACCCCTAAAATTTGTATTTTAATTTCTAACGCTTTGTTTATTACCATATAGAAACGAACAAAAAATAATAATATTATTAGTATCCAGTGCCATGTTTATGCAAGGACAAATGGGACAATTGCACTGGGCCCACCGACTTCAGGTAAACAAAATATTAATTGTATACCTTTTTACAAAGGTGGGCAAGTTAATGAAAATAATTAACTCAAGTTAAATTAAGTTAAGAGGACACAAGATCGATTAGTTAAAAGTTAGCAGTTAACAAATTATAAATTTAACTCGATAAGTTAAAAGTTCATATAGAAAAAAATATTAACTTAACTCAGTTTAAAAAAAGTTAATCTATTTTAGATTCGGAGTGAAACGATGAATGTATTGATTTTACAATGATGTGTTTTTATTTATTTATTATTTTTTTTTTTTGTGTCTGTCATCACGTTTTAGGACAGTAAAAGTTCTTGGATTTTCTTCAATATATCTTTTCTGACAGGAAAGTAAATCTAGTTGGTACTTTGGGGGGTCAAAAGTAAAAATTTCCCAGTAGTTTTCACAAGCACCGGGAAAAACAACATAAAAATTAAAGAAAAACGGGAATTTTTACGCAAAATCGGTTTTCCAAAAAATCGATTTTGATTTTTGGTGTAACTCTAAAAGAAATGAACGTATATACATGAAATGTTCACCGGTTGTTTATATTTGCATTTTGTATACAAGATAACAATTTCAAAATATTTTGATTTATTTTGAACTGTAAAGGGACATTTTTATTTTCCATCTTTTTTTAGTTTTTTTTCTAAAAATATCAATAAAACTTTATTTGTTGGTTGCAAAAAGTTGAAAATTTAATAGAAGGCTCCTAGTATATTGTTTCAAAGGCAGATGAAAAATATTAAAAATCCTTAGTCACAATTTTTTTTTTATAAGCATTTAAAGTTCAAAAATTGACAAAATATGGAAAAATCACGAAAATTAGCAAATTAATTTGAGTTAAGAATTCCTAAAAATTTTTCTTTTTAAATCTAAGATTTGAAAATGTAATACAAGATTCCTTATAAGATTATCTACCTTTATCAAAAAAAAAAAATGTTTATAAGAAAGTCAAATTAAATTTTTATGAGCGTTTGAAATTCAAATTTTTACAACATTGGATATTCACTCGAATTCTCATGTAGCGATTTCCTTATTTTGTTGTAATTCAAAAACGAATAACGGTAGATACATGAAAATTTCACTGAATTTTTAAATTAGCATTTCCTATACACCATACAATTTTGAAAATATTTTGACTCTTTTTGAGCTGTTTACGGACATTTTCAATTTTCAATTTTTTTAGTTTTTTTTTCTATAAATATCAATTAAGTGTTATATGTTGGGCCAAAAAGTGTAAAAATTTAATAGAAGGCTCCTGATATATTGTTACAATAGCAATTGAAAAATATTAAAAATACATAAGCACAATTTTTTTTATAAGCATTTAAATATCGAATTTTGACAACATTTATCAAAATCTCGAAAATTATCAATCATTGTAATTAATAAATTATAAAATGTTCAGTTTTTATAGCTAAAGATTGCAAATTTAAAACAAAGGTTCTCATAAATAGTTCATACTGTAACCAAAAAATCTAAAAAATATATGAACACAGTTATTTTTTACAGACATTTTAAATTCAAATTTGGACGAAATTAGATATTAAAAAACCTAGAATAACTATTTTAGTTATTTTGTTGTGATTGAATAATATTATTCGTGGTTACTTGAAACTTCTAAAGTGTACTATTATATATCTATGATAGTATCACGGTTTTTGTTGATGTATAGCGCGTTATTAGTACCTAATGGATATTGTGATATGATTAATTTGGAATTTATTATAGGTACCTATTATAGGTCAATTTTTGTTTTAGTACCATAGATATGTATATAATATTTCTTATACCTAAACTGACATACCTTCTCCGCTCAGAATAGTTTTTCTTATACAATGATATTATATCGTTGAATTCAAATTTAATATCATCCATTATACAGTGACCCACTTGTAACTTACTGTACAGTAGAGCGACACCCACTTGCCCACCTTTTTTTTCTATAAATATCAATTAAGTTTTATCTGTTGTGCCAAAAAGTGTAAAAATTTAATACAAGACTCCTGATATATTGTTACAATATAAGTTGAAAACATTGAAAATACATAGGCACAATTTTTTTTATAAGCATTTAAAGATCGAATT